AGAAGGCCTTTGATTCTGTTGAGACGGAAGCGGTCATTGAAGCCCTAGCCAATCAGGGCATTCAAGCCCAATACATCAGGATCCTCCGTGAGCTGTATTGCTGATTCACTACCAGGATCTCACCATTCTACAAAGAAGTGATCGTTGATGTCAAGAGAGGGGTGCGGCAGGGTGATACCATTTCACCGAAACTCTTCAGTGCCACCCTCGAGAACATCATGCGACGACTGGAATGGGAAGGAATGGGAGTGAAGATAGATGGTCGGCAACTACACCACCTCTGCTTTGCTGATAACATTGTTTTAATAACACCAAACATCAGCCAAGTGGCACAAATGCTGGCCGACTTTGACCGTGAGTGTGGAAAGGTAGGACTACAGCTGAATCTTACGAAGACAATGTTTATGAGAAACAGCCTTGTTCCTGATGCCCCATTCGCTCTCAATGGAACGACCATCTCCGAATGCAACAGGCAACCAATCTTACAAGGAAATATTTTTTAACAAATATATATATATATATATATATATATATATATATATATCAGCACACAATGCTCAACCTTTAACCACATGGTAGTAATCTCTTATAGAAGGGCTTAGGGCTTAATGGCCCCTGAGTAAAATGCAACAATCCTCACATTCTTTTCTCTAAGGATACTGTTTTCTAGCATTTTCAGAGGTTTTTCATAACAAAAAAATACAAAATATGTTATTTTGGTTCTTCTGAAAGGACAGGCTGAAGCAATAGCACAGCAGATAGGGCGTTTGCCTTGCACACAGCCAACCCAGGTTTGATTCCTCTGCCCCTCTCGGAGAGCCTAGCAAGCTACCAAGAGTATCTCGCCTGCCAGATAAAAGCCTGGCAAGCTACCCATGACGTATTCGATATGCCAAAAATAGTAACAACAAGTCTCACAATTTGTGTTGAGACGTTACTGGTGCCTGCTCAAGCAAATCGATGAACAATGGGATGACAGTGCTACAGCGCTGCGATAGAACAGGGATTGGGGTTTCAGGATGGAAACATCCAAAATATGGTGGTGAGAAGGTGTAATGGTGGTAGGATTGGTGTTTGAATATTAAAAGTAATCAAATATTGTGAATTACTTTATAAATTTTTTTAAAAAATTAAAAAGTAAGCCCTGAGCACCACTGGGTAATTGTGTGGCCCCCAAACTAAAAACAAAACTATACTTCAAAATAACAGTCATTTCCCCAAAACCAGAATGTGCCTTCCTCTTCTGGCACCACTATGATGCTATTTACATGAAATTATTTCAGGAATTTTGCTGTGTTCTTAAGAAATTTTAACATCTGCTTCAGAGGGAAAACCAAGTATTTACTTGGGGGGGGGGGAGGGGCGGGGAGGGAAGCTGAGAGAGAAGCAAATTACTAAAATCAGGAAAAGAGTTTTTCTTAAAGTAAAATGCATTAACCACCCTTCTAAATCTGATCAAAGATTGTTTAGGTAATGTTCTCTTGAACTTTGGGTTAGCACTTCTCATATGCTTGTCAGTTCTCAGGATTTCAAATTTCTTAACATTTGGTTCAAGTCTGCTAGATCTTTTATGCATAAAATGAAAAAGCACTAGAGACAAGAATAGAAAGGAAGGAAATTAATGAAAAACAAAATCTGCCGAACTGCTCCTCATGGAGCAAGGATACTCAGGGGCATCAGGGGAGCGTGGCTGTGCTTCTTCCTAGCAGTGCAGGAGGTTTACCCACTGCTTGAAATTACGTTCACATCCTCCTTACTGTCCAGCAGAAAGGCAAGGTGGGATAAGTGTTCCCCAAAAATCATGTGGAAGAGAAAATGCTAAAATCTGATTTTTCACCCTAATTGTGTGGCAATGACTTGCTTCAAAGAAGCATTGAAGGGGCTGGAGCGATAGCACAGCAGGTATGGCATTTGCTTTGCACATGGCCAACCCAGGGTCGATTCCCAGCATCCCATATGGTCCCCTGGGCACCGCCAGGAGTGATTCCTGAGTGCAGAGCCAGGAGTAGCCCCTTGTGCATCGCCGGATGTGACTCAGAAGAAAAAATAGGAAGCATTGAAAATATGCTCTATGAGAAGTGATAACAGGCTCGAGTGATAGCACAGCGGTAGGGCATTTGCCTTGCACGCGGCAGGCCTGGCCGACATGAGTTCGATTCCTCTGCCCCTCTCAGAGAGCCTGCCAAGCTACTGAGAGTATCTCGCCCGCACAGCAAAGCCTGGCAAGCTACCCGTAATACATTCGATATGCCAAACACAGTAACAAGTCTCACAATGGAGATGCTACTGGGCCCGCTTGAGTAAATCAATGAACAACGGAAAGACAGTGCTACAGGAAAGGTAGTGGGAAAGGAGTTCGCTGCTCTATGGATACCTCAGAATAACCCCAAGACAGAGTTCTGGCTGAACCCATGAAGTATTCAGTTTTATGTAAAGACAGCTCTGTCAAAATTGGTGGGTGGGAAGCTGTCAGAAACAAACTAAAGATCAGATTGTACCACATAACATGACAGTCTGTGCCACTTCTTATATAATTCCTACAAAGGGCTTTCCAATACTGTCCAGAATATTTTTCTTTTTTTTTTTTAGGGAACATTCCCATCACTAATATAAACATGATGGTTAAAAGTCTCCTTATTTCTATAAAAAACCCTGTGGTCTTTGCTTGCTTGTGCTTTAATTTTTGAGGTACTCCTTTTTTATGAATAAATGTTCATAATGCAGCATGACATACACAAATTCAAATGCACTAAGTATAGGCTTGGTGTTTGATGGAATACCACAAAATAAGCACTTTTTAAGTTAGTAAAAGGTAACTCAAAGTCTTTGACTTGAGAAGACATATATGTATAAAATTATCTTTCTTTCAATGACTCCATTAATGTGTATTTTTCCCCTCAGTAAGGCCAATTTCCACATCACACAGCCTCCCCTTCATGTAGGAGGGCTGAAAGCAAAAGCACCTGCTCAAGCCACCCCCAGATTCCTGACTCACAGGCTCCGGGCAATGATGTGTTTGCTTGCAGTTGCTAAGATGGGTGGTATTTTGTTATATCACAACAGATAAGTAATACACAGCAGAAAGGATGTACTGAGAGGCTGGAGAGAGAGCACAGCAGGTAGGGCATTTGCCTTGCATGCAACCGACCCGGGTTCAATTCCCAGCATCCCGTATGGTTCCCCATGCAGCACCAGAAGTAATTCCTGAGTGCAGAACCAGGAGTAACCACTGTGCGTGGCTAGGTGTGACCCAAAATAAAAAAGATTAAAAAAAAAAAAGAAAAGTTGTACTGAATTCATTGATTCCATGGCCAACACTTGTGAAGAATAAGGGACCAGATAGAAAAATGTAGGTCTATAAAACCTTTCATTCTCTGTAGAACCAGAGCTCTCTGTGGTCAGGAAAGCGTGAGGTCCCTGAAGGTCTTGCTTCCAGAGATGGCTGTTCTTTGGAAAGCTGATACCAATCTTTACCCTGCTAGCAACGTCCTGAACTGCCCAGGCACAGAACTCTGCTCTAGTCACTATTTCTCCCGACAAAAATGCAACATGAACCCACTGATAAACATTTAACTGATAAGAGTTCCTCTTCTTGAATGCCATTCCTTCTCTTTCTGATAGTCTTCATCTCTTGTGCAAGCGTCAATGCATCCATGACAACATCCCTTTTCGTTTTCATCTCTTGTGCAAGGGTCAATGCCTCCATGGCAATATCCCTAACAGCCTCTGGATACCAAAACACTTCAAACCTGTGCCAACACAGCACATTCTAATTCTCTTTTTCCTGTTTCCTTCATCCAACTGTGCATATTTAGTAGTGTCAGTGGCCTAGAATAGTGCCCACACAAAGTAAGATTCAGGAAATAACTGTTACATGAAAAACATTCACTCACAGCAGTTATCACTAACACAAAAGTAGAGTTCTAAGATACTATGACATTGAAGCAGTAGGATTCTAACAAATCATGATATTGAGTATTTGTCCACTTTGTATGCTCTATGGCATTTAACGTATCGGTCACTGAAATTAATGGGAGTAAAATCTTTTGTCACTGAAGAATAGGTGCACTTGCCTTCAGGTACAGATTGATCTGCTGGCGGCACCATACCCCCAATTTGTCTTTTATTTTCAACCTTACTTTTACAACATTTTTAAGACACTGATTTTCCCTGTTGATGGACAGAGATATTTGACTCATACTCACACAGTTATCTCTCTGTTACCTGGTCCTTTTGGTTATGTCCTGGAAAAACAGTCAGATTTTCGATCCAAAAGAATATTTACAGAACAGACTTTTTTGTATATTTTGGGATCTATCAAGCCTTTCCAGAATCCACAAATATGCTAATTTAAGATTATTTTACAGAATATCCCTCTGTGCATGCCATAATATAAATGTGAAGGTAGAACACGTCTGTTATAAAGAACCATTTGAGTTAAAGGAGGTTCTGAAAATAACTTCAGTACATCCTGTGTAGGGTCCCTGGTTCCTATTGTGAAAGCATCTGCTAGTGTATTACCATAAAGTGTGTTTCCCACTGCCCACTTCTGTCTCTTGGCTCCAGACTCTATGACCGAGAAATACCATCTCTGTTATTTCTGAACCCAGAGATATTCTTTGGGAAGTAGAATCGCACCTTCAGTGAATCAGGTAAAATCTAAGATTTTATCTATTTAAATCAATTTTCAGGGTCTCATTGATATTGTACGAGGCAAAAAAAAAGCAAAAAAAAAAAGACCTCAACAAACTTCACATGATCTTGTTTTCTAGAAGCTTAACATTTAAGTTTTTACATCAGGAAGATGCATAAATCAAGGGATACTGTGGAAAAACGCATTAAGTCAAGCCACCTCACTCTGTAGAAATTTTACTGCAAAAATCTGCTTTTACTGCAAAACCCTTCACCCACACGAACACACTGTGTGTGCATAAAATCTCTGCAGTGTCAGCTCTTCCCTGCCCCACAAGCAGACTCATCCACAGTCTGAAACGTGTTACCTTTAACGTGCTATTCAATGTTCGGATTTTGTGGAGTTTCTCGTTGATGGAGGGATTTTTGCACCGCTTAACGAAGGACTTTCTCAGCTCCTTTTTAGTTGAAGGGCGTCGGTCCCCAAGAGGAGAGAGACTTGCTTGCTCTAATGATTTATAGAGCTTCTCCATTTCATCATCTTCGGACACTTTTGTTTCATCTATTTAAATTACAAAAGGAAGAACAGTAACCTCAATTAAGGTCCAGGACATAACATTAGACATGGCGGTCTTTAAATAAGATCTCCCAACACCCTTATCTCATATTTCTAGTATCCAGAAGTGTGAAATGATATTTTGGTTGTCCAAGCTACTCAGCCCAATTGCTCTGATGGGACCCTGTGGCCACTGAAGTGAATGCAAGTTTATTTGTTCCAGACCTCTTTCAGCTTCTTAGCTTTAGCATTATAGTGCAAATTTTCACGTGCAGATCATTTATCTGTATGTCTGTGTCCAAAGTTCCCCCTTTTATACAGAAAAAAATAGTGTTGAATTTGTAGCTCACTTTACTGATTTAATATTAACTATTTACGTCTGTGGCAATCCCACTCCTGATGAGAGCACTTTCCAGGGTGCTAGGTGTAATGGTCTCACCATGAGTTTGGAGAACACAGATGAGTCCATTAGACTCTATCATCTAGCCCTTCCCAAACCATCTCCTTTTCACAATCCAAATATATTCATTCCATCCTAATATCTCTGGAGGTAACAACCCATGATAGCATTAATTTGAATCCAAAATTTAATCCAACTCTGATTTAAATCAGGCCTTGATAAGATTTGTGGAATGACTGATTGATCTTAGTGCAGAATTCTTCTCCACCTGTGAACAAATTATCTGTTGCTACTGATGAGCAATGATGAGCCATGCAAAGTCCACCAAACTTACACATACTTGAAACCCTGAGAAACAATGTCCCCAAATGACTATTGTGCTTCTAGAACTTTCTTTAAACAAGGACATTTACCATGGTCAATGGCTTTGAGAAGATAGTGATTGTTTCCCATGCTGGTACATACATTCAGTCCCCTTTCTAACTGCACATTTTTGACCTTCACCCAAATGTTTCCAGTAGTGATTCCATTCAGGACCCATGATGGATTCCATGTGCTCTGCTACATTTATGTTAATCCCATTATTCTGGCCATAATCATTGATTCACAGATGAGCATATGCCTTAGGACAAGTCAAGTAAGGTCACAAAAACTCAGTACTGCAAGACGAATTGGGGTATTGGAGGAGAAATTCCTAAACTGAGTGTGTGATATGAGGTGAAATACTGCAGAAATCATTTCAAGAATCATGAGAATGAAATAAATTCACTGGGAATAGTTGAGACAGATTATCATGATACCACTGGGGTTCTCTTAGACAACGGGTTGCCTTTCAGTGTTTATAAACTGAAGGGTCTTGAAGATACAGAAAATCACTCAAAGAAAATTTGCATAATTTATTGTGAGTTGTCACTGGTGCCCGCTCGAGCAAATCGATGAACAACTGGAGGACAGTGCTACAGTGCTACAGATATTGTTTACATTTCCTCCCTAAAACTTTAGTCTTTTGTTCTTCTATTTCCTGAAGACACACTATATACTTCCCGGTGTCTATAGATTTGACTTTCTGCCTGAGAACGGTCTTTACAGAGGAACCAAAACAGAATAACTTTAGGAGAAACTGAAATAAAGGGGCCTCTCCAAAATGCAGAGAAATACATACATTAAATATATTTTTCCTTTTTTTTTGAAAAAAAAAAAAAGCCTGGACTTCACGTCAGGCTGTGGGGCAGGTAGGAGCCCTCCCCCCACCAAGGGACCCAGCCCCGGCAGCTGACCTCCACTGCCCAACCACCGCCATACTCCAGACTGCTTTCCGGACACTCAGGCTGAGCCTCACACAAGAATGAAGTCCCATGGAACCCAGATAATGTGGAACTTTGTGACCTTAGACTCTGGACTCAACGGAACCTGGAACAGAGACCCCTTACCTGCTTCCCCCAGTCTCTGGTGACTCAGGGATAACAACCATAAGCCACACCCTGCCGGTACCAGATAATCTTATTGGCCATGCGACTGCACAACACATTATAAGACACTTCCTACCCATTTATGCCTCTTGGAGAGCCCAGCAAGCTACCAAGAGTATTCTGCCCTCACAGACAGAGCCTGACAAGCTCTCCGTGGTGTATTTGATGTGCCAAATACAGTAACGACAATATGTCTCATTTCCCTGACCCTGAAAGAGTCTCTAATCATTGGGAAAAGATGGGTAAGAAGAGGTTGCTAAAATCTCAGGGCTGGGAGGAATAGGAATACTGGCACCCGCTCGAGTAATTCAACGATTAAGGGATGAGAGTGATACAGTGATACAGTGAATAATATAAGGCATCAAAAGTAAGCACACATCACTTACCTAAAAGTTTATTTTCATATTCTCCATGTCACAGACATAGAATGACTGCACTCATTTGTGGAATATAAAGTAACATAATAGGAGACTAACACCTAAGGATAGTAGAGATAAGGGCCAGGAGGATCACTCCATGGCTTGGAAGCAGATCTCATGTGCTGGGGGGAAGGGCAGATGGGATAGAGAAGGAACGACTAAGTAAATGGTGATTGGAGGACTTGCTTGGGATGAGAGATGCGTGTGGAAAGTAGACTATGGACCAAATATGATGGCTGCTTAGTACCTGTATTGCATATAACATATAATTGCATATAACATATAACACCCAGGAGAGAGTAAGAGGCAATGTGCCTGACACAGAGGCAGGTACGGAGGAAGGGGTGGGGGTGGTGGGAGGGATACTGAAATATTGGTGATGGAGACTGAGCACAGGTGGAGGGATGGGTATTCTAACATTGTATGACCGAAACGTAATCATGCAAGTTTGTAAGTCTGTAACTGTATCTCATAGTGATTCATTCCACGGTCCACGGTCCACGGTCCTCCTGTTGTTCATCGATTTGCTCGAGCGGGCCCAGTAACGTCTCCATTGTGACACTTGTTGTTACTGTGTTTAGCATACCGAATGCATCATGGGGAGCTTGCCAGGCTCTGCCGTGTGGGCGAGATACTCTCGGTAGCTTGCCGGGCTCTCCGAGAGGGGCGAAGGAATCAAACTCGGGTCGACCATGTTGGCTGCGTGCAAGGCAAACGCCCTACTGCTGTGCTATCTCTCCAGCCCAGTGATTCATTAAAGTAAAAAAATAATTTAAAATAATTTAAAAAAATAAAAAATAAAAGTTTCTTTTGTAAGATTGGAAATTTTTAAGCAGTATTTGGTTTTCCTCATCTAAAACTCTTAGAAAAGCCCATTCTAAATATGCTTTCATTTAATGGAGGACAAAAAGTCAGAGAGAGAGAACAACAGGCTGAGCACATGCCTTGTATGGGCTTGGATGTGGGAGGTCTGGGTTTGACTTGAGTCCGGGCATGGTCCCTGAGCATTACCAGGAGCAAACCCCAAGCCCTGAGCTAAGACTAACTGAAAGCACCACTCAGTGTGGCCCAAACCAAGAAACAAAAAGTGAAGAACAAATATACTGGTTGCCTTTGTATGTGACTCAAAGTACTGGTTAGTACAACCACCTCTATGCTCTCTACCAAAACAATTTCAAATAAAGAAGGAAAGCATTCAAACCATATTTGAAGACAATGAGACTTTTTGACTCAATCTGTGTGCAAATATCAAACAGACTGTCAATCAGATCATGAAAAACTATTCAACATTATTAGTCATTAAATAGATCTCACACGCGCAGTGAGATGTTGCTACACACCTACACTTATCAAGATGGCTAAAATTAAAGATGATGGTAAAGTGTAGGCAAGGATGAGGAGAAAATAGAAAACTTGCATATTACAAGTGCAGATGCAAACCGAAGCTGCCATTTGATAAGTTCCTCAAAATGTTACCCTCAGAGTAGCACACCACCCAGAAATTCCATTTCTATTAATTTCTTAGAACAATTAAGAATACAAAGGGTGGTTGCAAATGATGGTGATGATACTTCCTAATAGATAAAAATAGAAATATCCTAAATGTTCATCTGGTAATGAATAGAAAAACAAAAGGTGGGTTTGCATCTAATAGATTGATTCAGTCCTTTAAAGAAATAAGATTCTAGTACATGCCAGAAAAAAAGTATTAGTATTAAAAATATTGCACTGTAGCACTGTCCTCCCTTTGTTTATTGATTTGCTCGAGTGGGCACCAGTAGCATCTCCATTGTGAGACTAGTTACTGGTTTTGGCATATCAAATACGCCATGAGGAGCTTGCCAGGCTCTGCCGTGTGGGTGGGATACTCTCGGTAGCTTGCTGGGATCCCTGAGAGGGACAGAGGAATCGAACCCTGGTCGGTCATGTGCAAGACAAACGCCCTACCCACTCTGCTATCGCTCCAGCCCATTAAAAATATTAGTCTATACAAAATCATTCAGTCACATATTGTATAAGCCCGCTTATATTAAATTTCCAGAATACGCAAATCTACAGTGACAACAGGTAGATCTGAGTTGCCTTGGCTAGGAAAGGGACAGTAGGAAGGGAAATGACAGACACCGGGTGCAGGTTTCTTTATGTGGTGTTGAAATTTTTCTGAAATTTCATTGTGGTGACAGTTGCACAAATCTGTGCATATACTAAAATTTGACTTTGTGCTACATGAAATAGATCTCAAAAAGTAAATATTTATTACTAAAAATGTAAATACCATATGATCCATCACTACCACTCCTAGAAGTATCAGAAGGATTTGAAAACATAATTAAGAAATATTTTCACGTCTGTTTATGGCATCCTTATTCGCCATAGCCACAACATGGACTCAACCTTCACAACCACTGACAAATGACTTGAGACAGAAGCTGTGATCTCAATACTTGATGAAATGCTAATTAACATTTTTTTTCTATTTAAGAAAATCCAGTTGTGCTTTTTGGAACAAAATGGATAGAATTTGAGGAGATTATGCTAGGTGAAATAAATAAGGAAGTGAGAAACAATGATCAGATGGTTTCATTCAGGTGTAGATGATAAACCAATGAAAAGAGAAACTGGAAATAAGCAAAAACTAATTCAGGCTCTGCAAAAATTGGAAAGAATGGTGTGAGAGGAATAAGTTACTGCAGGAGTCATTCACAATGACATGACACG